GGGGGGGGGGGGGGGTGTGGGGATAAGATCTCGGTCACGTAATTAGAAATCAGAGATTCACGAGGCGGCAATAAATCGAAAAAGCAACGGCTAATGGCACGCGTATTGACGTATCCATCGGTCTATCGTTCATCTTTCTCACGAGTTCCGCCGGCACGCAGTCCGCCTCGCGGCTACCCGCGATCGTCCACCTTGTCCTTTTTTTTTCCCCACCCTCTGTCTTTCTATCTCTTTCGTCCGTTCGTACTCGTGTACAGTACCTGGACGAGGAGAAGAGACGGAAAGGATCGACGTCTTGGGAAGCTTTCCCTCCTCTCCAACGGGCCGGTGCGCGCCTCGTGAGCGTAAGTACGCTTGATTTACGTTAAAAGCTAAGTCGGCCCCGCTGTTCGGTCTTTATCGAAGGGGGTAATGCGATGATGATGGACGACCGACGATTTGTAGAAGGCGGAATGCGCGCTGCACGCAGATATATGCGCGCCTCCGCAGTGTAGGATGATTATTGTAACTCGATCCTGGGACGCGGTCAGGTAGAAAGCGGTGGAATTTCGTGGACACGGGAACCGTTTTGGACACCTTCGGATCACGGTGTTAGAACGTTTCGGAGGTGGCGGTAGCTATGAAGGGATTTTTCGAGAATTTCTAGCGAGATGTCAGAAACACGAACGAATCTTTGACCACCTATTGCTATCAAAGGTCCAGGAGTTAAACGATCGAATTGTCTTTTTGAGGATTTTATAGCTGGGGCTTAGGCTAGTGGGAATTTTCATCCTCAGTGTAGCTACTGTGTGAATTCTTTTCATATCGAAACTTTGTAAGTATGCAGTTTATAGTTTGAGATTACAGGTTTTGAGGAATGATGACATAGAGAAATTGATCTAAATATGGGGTAACAATTTTATTTCAATTTTGCTCTTGAGTCATAGTTTCACACAATTCCAGCTGGAGTGAAACATATAACATGACCCTACACTTTCAACTAGATACCATATTTAGACCCTAGCCTGTATTTGGGTCGCTTTACATATGCGCGCTGGAACATTCAGTCCTTTGAGTATTAAGACTATATTCAGGGGGTAACTTCAGATCTATAAGTGGTTTAATTGACTGTATTACAATTCGAATTGAATCATCGAATCAGTCATGGTAGTTGTCCTTACATTATTTTATAATACCCTTCACAACATATGCCTTCCATTATGTTTACTCCAAGGAGCTTACATTCTCCGCACAAATCCAAAAGAAACTAATATTTCAAAGTTGCTTCTTGAATCCTAGCCAACACGTACAATAACAAGAAATACTGCTAAGACGAAGAAATCCTCCAGAACTCCAAAGGAAATTCGGTGTACCGTTTCCTGAACCTCGAACCGTTTCTAGTTTCCGTGGATGGATACGAGGCACAAGTTTCCACGGAAACACGCGAACGGTCCCCGAAGGCTGCATACGAAATCGTAAGGGGGGCAGTAGGAGGCACGGTTAATCGAGTCGTAAACATCGAACGCTCGTCCTCCGCGTGATTTCTCGAAGCGAGGAAATGCAAGAGCACGCTGCTGGCCGGCGCGACCTTTTTTTAACGATCCGTAGCCGCCGCTCGGATTACCATAACCGATCGATTACCGGCCTTCCAAGAGAGGAGTTTCACCGGGAGATGAAGACGTTAAGCCTAGGACTGGCCGGAGCCCCGGGGACCTGGCCGCAGCGCGCTGTCACGAGGAGCACGATGTGTCCGCGATGGACGTTTTCACACATTCACAGCGACCGCCGGGGAAACACGCTCGACGCTCGGTTTTTTTGTCGTGATCCCCTTCCGACTACGTCGATATCGAAACGTTCGAACGGCTTCGGATCTCAGCCGAGGAGGGGTAAAAAGAAGAGGAACCGGAGTCCGGGGGATCGTAAAGGAAACGCGACCCGACGGTGATAGAGCCGATGAATATTGATGGTGGCGAGCTGGAAATTTTTAGTCAGACTGGGTTTTATCGCCTTTGACCATCGTGGAAACATTGGAGTGCTAACGGGGACACGGTGATCCACTGTGGAACAAGAGCTTTCGAACACCTATTGGAGAAATGGAAGATTGGGGAACTGGTTACAGGTGTTTTGATGTGTTAGCTGGCTTGTAATTCAGTTTTCGATCGGAATCTATAAGTTTTGTGATTTCTTTTGAATAGAAAGGAATATAATGTGACACTGATGATCTACAGGAATTGGTATCAAAATACCTAGAAGATATACATATTCTATTAACAGTCAGTAGTGAATAGGAACGTTTACTCGACTTACATAATAACCCATGCTAATTTGATACTGAAAGAGTATTCACCGAAACTGTGTGTTCGTTAGAATGATAAATGCTCTAAGTTAATCATCGGAGGCAAGTTAGTGTGAAGGAAATTTGGATAGCCAACGCGAATACACACACAGAGTCTCGGCTTAATGAATCATTTACTAGTATATTTAATTATAGACACCTGGACAGTCAGCTACAATTTAACGCAATTATTCGTACGAAGTCATAAAATGGCCAAGATCCTTCATTAAGTAGTAAAGAAACCTGAGGAAGCTGTTCCTCCACGAGGAGTCCACTTCATTAATCAGTCGAATTATCCTCTAATAGAATCTGAATATACCTCAAGTGAAAGAAGAAAAGAGCATTGAGTATTCATGGTTAAAGGGCCGAAGATCCGGTCGGGGTGAATGAAACCCCCCCTGTCTGAGGCCAAAAGTGCATTAGCATTAGCACCCTGAGAATTTGCAAGCTCGAGCGAGCCTGAACGTCTGCCCACTGGCATTGGGCATTATTATCGCGTTACCACGTAATCGCCCATATAACTTACACAGGCATGAATTATCATTAACGCCCGCAGCATTCGCCTGCAGGTAGATTTCAAGGTGTTGCGCGCGTATTCATCGCTGGCGAGCACTCGCCGATGCTTCGTCGTAACGGCACGTGTCACGAGCTTGCGATCGCGCCTGTATCCCTCATTATTATTTTGCTTTTTCTTAGAATATTTGAAGCACCAGTTAGATTCTTGAAAATAGATGTGAACTTCAGAAGATACAAAGAAGTGAAATTTATGGTCGTTTGGTATGGGTAATTGTTTATTCACAGTTCAAATGACTCAGATTTTAAATGTGGTCTATTCAAGTGTTCCTGCGATTCCTATTTAAATGCATCACTTTTTTGGTTCTAAGTAGAAACCGATTATATAGGAAGAGGTTTGGGTTAGATTGTCTATTACCAAATTTCCCACTGCATTCTATAAATGCACCCTTGCACTCACGAAAGAAACTTGTACAGTCTCAGATGGGACCATCCACTTAATTTTCTGCTAAATTTTTTAAAGCAGTTATTGTGCACTATCTTTTTCGAAATGATTCGAGAAGAGGGAAGAATTCACAAGAAAAGAGATCTATAACTCACACTGACCAACGAGCCCGTCGATAAAATGATTTCTCGGATACATTTCTTTAGCCGCGGGGCCTGATGTTAATATCCCGAGAAAAGTCAGGCAAAAACCACCGAGGAGAATCAACAGAGATCGCTCGAGAACTCGCGAGAACGGAGAGGATCGACGAGAAATGGCCCCCGGCGTCTGTGGCGGCCCCAGCATCGGCGGGGCGCAAGATCGTACGATCTCGGAACAACAACGTTGGAGGCTTGTAAACCAACATCACTCGTGAGCTCCAGATTCCAAACGATATACTGTACACACCGTGGAGAGACGGTTCGTGCCTCGTCGTCGTTTCGGTCACGATTAAGACAATAAGATTTTACGATGTCCCCTATTTCACGTTATCCGGGGCGGATCGCGGTCTGTTCGTAATGTTATTACATTTTCATCGGGGGTACACCCGCGGGGGTTTCGTAACCAAAAGATTCCGTCCCCCCAACCGCCGATTGATTGTGACCTACTCTCTCGATAGCCCAGCGTCCGCTAACAGCCCGAGATCATTTAATAACTTACGCCGCGCTGGAAGATTACGATCGGTGCAAGCCGGTATACACAGGGGGGAATCGGATCACGGCCTGTAATCAAATGCTGTTACCGACTTTTATTACGCCGTTAATGCGACTCTGTGTGGTGCGATCGTTCGTGCGCGCGCGCGGTGACTTCGTTCTGTTTCGCGCGGCGGTATGCAAGTGAATTGGAGTGGGGAGTTAATCTGGAATTGGGGAAATAAATTCGACCGATTTCGTTACCACCGGAGTCATTAAACATGAATAAATCCCTGTTGACTACTGGCGTAACAACGTCGAACGAGAGATTCGTTTTATTATTTTTTTTTTTTCTTGGTTGATAATTAATTCTCCGATCCTCTGCTTGCAGGGTACACGGACGCGAATGGCAGACCTGTTCTCGAGTTCGAGGACGAGCCTGATAGAAGGGAAGCGCTCTGCGTTAAGGATGTATCGTCGTTTCTTCTGTATCTCACCCGTTTACCCAGGTGTGTATCATTCTTTTGTGATTTCGCGGAAAAATGTTCTGGTGACGTTTAATATGTGTTTACTTGATAATCTACTGACGACTGTGGGTTTGAACAGTATCGGTGCCCGTGGCTCCGATTGGAGACATTTTCGTCAACGTTTGGGTCTTGCAGGTGACTCCGATCGGAGCCACAGCTTATGTTGATTTTCTTTTAATCGGGATTAAAGTGGCACTGAGGGCGATTTTATGTTTATTGTGTAGGCATATTAATAGAAAAGATGTCGGTGTGTCTAATTACATGGCTATTTATAGAAGTCGTCCTAATTAGCTCTATTCGTAGTGGCAGCGAACGTGTTAAGCGTCTCGCGTAGGTATCGTTGTATTGCGATAACACAGTTATGATAAATGGATTACATATTCCTGTATGTAAAAACGAGAAATTCTAATCTAATGAAGTCGAATTACATTATTTTTCCAAAACGACCTATACAACTGAGGAAAGATGAATATATTGAATATATCAGATGTACGCTTACGATCGTTAGCGCGTTAGAGTTGAAAATTGTGAAGACGCAATGAGAGATATAAATTGGTTGATATAGTCGTAAATTATCCATACTTAACGTTCATACAATTACGAAAGAGATTCGATAATTTTACCGATTTAAGATCGGTGCTCCTTCTTACCGCGCATTGAAATCACCAAATTAGCCTCTCTACGCGAACGTTCAGACCATTATTGAAAGAAAACAAATCGCGCTATCAATTTCACATTTTCAATACTCTATTCTGCAATCATTTCCCTTTCTAATGACGAAACCCCAGGCGATCCGTCTTAAAGTCCGTCAGAAATACAACCTCTTTCTGTACCTGCAGCAATCGAATCGTCGATAAGCCTTAAATGTCCGTCATTAAGCGATTTCGCGGTAGCATTACCAACAGCTCGAGTATCGATAATTCCGTTTCAAGAGCTGCGTGAACCGTAATTTCACTCTTACTTTTCAACCATATCGCTGGAATACCAAATTGCTGCTCGAGATCGTTTACTCCGGACGAAATAGAATATCAAAAGATTCGACACCAATTCCCAAAGAGACCAGCTTGCAACAATACTTATCGACAGAGGGAAACTCGTATTCTCTATGGGCATCGAATTACGCTCGAAACGAACGATTTACTATGCCCTGTCCGCGCGGATTTCCCCGTGATCACTCGAATAATAACTGCAATCGACCGCCAGGGAATTGGCAATTTGTTAATTCTCGCGGTGTGGGGGAGAAGACGGGAACAGGCGTGCGCGCGCTTTCCAACAAATAAACCTGCCCGACGCGACCGGTCTCCGTAATAATTATAATTTTCCCCGGGCCGTGACATCCCCGTCACGCCCACCGTAATCACAGACGAGGTGCAAAATCGCGGCTTGTATATCGTTTCTGGCCGACGTCCTCCCGTCCATAACTACGAATTTCCTAGCTGAACGTGCACGCGCGCGTTCTGCCTTCGAGGCGAGACCGCCCGGCCACGGTCATTAATTAGCCGAACAGTTACGACGTTTTTCTAATTAATCTTTCGCCGACCTCGAGCCCAGACGGGGAACTAATCGCGAAAGGGTGGGGGGGGTGACGATGAAAAATTGGCCCGGTTAATAATTACGGTGTTTCGTTCGCGCGATAATTTAATTACGTGGATATACGACAAGCGTGTTATCGTTGGCGTTGAATTGATTCCCTTCCCTCCACGCAAGGAAATAGACGGCGAACGTTCGTTTAAGAGGGGTGTTAAAAGAAATATGGTGAGGTGAGAGGGGAGACAGGTGTCGCCGTTCACTTGAGTTTGTAGATTCTTTTCTCGAACCCGTACCGCCGTGAATTTTCGATCGGTATCGACGCTCGCATTAAAACCGTATTTACTGTGTGTGCATTACCAACCACCTGAACCAAGGCTGAATAAAAGCGTGTGTTGTGCGGGACGACGAGAAAGGCGGTAAATCATGCGCCACTTAACGCGTCGGAATAGAATTTTGAATAACGATCGTTCCATTATCGTGGCATCGAGGAAAGTGAACACGGGGAAACTGAATATATTTCGCGTTACGTAACATCGGCCCATTGTTCGGAGAAAGTGTATATTTCATTGATAAGAATCGGGGCATAGCGCCAATTTATTTTATTGCTTATACTTGCGCCGCGGCAACCCCGTTTATCCTTGCGGCCGGCACCCGCCGGTCTCTCGATCGATCGGGCCCAGGGATCACGGTGCCAATTCCTCCGTCGCCTTGTGTGCCTCCAATCGTCGATTGTACAATTTCCTCGATTCGACGTTCGATGATGTAGGCTGGAGAGCAAGACAATTCTCTCGTATTCTTTGGCTAGGTTCTCTGGATTTCCGTTCGCGTCTACCGACGAAATTGCAATTTCCGTCGGGTTTGTTTGCTTTTATTCCGTCGGGTGCGTTTGAGGTTCGTTGGAGTGGAATTGATAACTAGTTTTGTAAATTGAAACGAATGTAACGTGTTGGGAAGAGATGATAGTATGGATTTTTACCACTGTACTGTCTTGAAATAATTCTTTGTTCCTTTTAATGGTAATATTCACTTTCTAAGGAATGGAACGAATTATAATAATGTTAAATTAGTTCGAATGTCTAGAATAGCTCGCAGTGTCTTATCAGGGCATTGAAATTTCCAAGTGATCGTGGAATCTTCCGAAAGATCGTTCGAAATCACTTCATTCGAATGGATCACTTGACACCGGGTACCAGTGAGCCAAACCTTTCTCAAAACAAGACATTAAAAAACCAAGCACACAAAATTACTAAAGAATCACTAGTCCCAGGAACATAGAATATTCCTTCTCCCGCGAAGTGTTGGCCACGATCGTAAACACCCAGATCCGTGTTGTGTTTTTTTTTTTTTATTCCGTGGCTCTGGATCACGATTAAGAATCGTTCCGATGCTGGCGATCAAAGGGAGGGTGGGAGGGCCCCGCCGATTGTCAGTGAACCTCAAGAGGAGAGAACCAAAGGCGATCGTAAAGGATGCAGTCGGTGGCCGAGGGGACTGTGCGCGCGAGAGAAGACCGTCCTCCCGGCTCGCCGCTTGTTTAACCGCATTCGTATGCTGCCCGGCTCATAAAACATATCACGTACGATAGCCACGGCAGCCTATTGCGGTATCGTTCATCGCGCGGCTTTATGGTGCCCCGTGCAACCGTCCCGAGAGTGGAAGCAGCCTCCCCCTTCTTCCTTCGTGCCTTTTCGTGGCTAAAGCGATATGAAGCTCGCCGCGCGGAGAGAGGACTGCCCGGCGAGCAATACACAATTCTGCTCGGGGCCACCACTCGAGAAACGTCGTTCTATCTTTTGGCATCTTCGAGGCGGTTTCCGTGTCCGTTCCCCTCGTCCGACAGAAGGAAAACCGACCGGAAAGTTTCGCGGTGCCCACGGCTTCTACCGCGGAGTTTCACTGCGATTGGCGGTGAATACTTCGAAAGGTGGTTGCGTGGCTGGAAAATAAGGATGGAGTTATGTGAATTTCTTTTTTCAAAGGGATTGTGAAATATACATCCCAATTGGAACGTTCGGGGCACTGTTTCGTTAGCCATTTCTGTTGACAGTTTGACTGCCGCGTCATATAAATATGGGTACGATGCAAGGAGGCTGGATTATTTAATTATCGGTGGAAAATTTTTGCATAAAATTAATATTGCAATTAATTTAAAGTTACACCGACAACCTCTGTTAACCTTTTAATAATTTTAAAAACAGCAGGCTTTTTGATTATCTTTTAATTAATGTTCTGGTTTTGATAGAAGATAATTACGATGAAAAAAAAATTTTTTTCGAGTAAAAGAAGTTAGAGAAATAGAAGAGTTCTGCGTACAGGTGGCATATAGGATAAATGGGCTGTAAGTAGAATTTGTTACGTTGGGACTTGGATGGCGGGAAAATTTATAATGAAGGGAAACTTTCAAACTTTATAGAAATTACTAGCGAAAAGCACTTGAAAATTGTTTCTAATCAATTTTGAATACGGATTAAGTTAATTCAGAGAGTTCTACAGCAGTGAGTTCGACGAGGGTTTCATTGGCTCTAAAGAGCTCCAACGATTAAAAGTGCCAATACGATTGTGTATGGCAAAATGGGCAGACGTCAATGAAAAAACGATTAAGTGCGGTCTGATGGAAAATCTGACCGTGTTTCCGTACAGTTAGAGAGAAATTCCTAGTTACGAGGCCTACTTTGTCTTTCCTTGACCGTGAAACGGAATTACAGGAAAACCGTAGGAATACGTAGAATCCTTCGTGATTTCCCATCGGCAATCGGGAGTGAATTATCCGGGAAATTCCAAAGTGTATTTTATAGTTCGCGTAATGATGCCGAAATAGGCGGAGATAGAATCTACACGAGAGATTTTCCCATGGAAAAACAGTCGTTACCGAGTTAAAAATGTCAAATTACAAACGTGTAATACGTTTCGCGCGCGAATACTTAGCGTGACAGGTTGGAAATATGAAGCTTTCGTCCTTCGTGAACGCAAATCACCGGGAACTGAAGTAGAACTTAATGAAGAGGTTTTCTTCGCCAGCGTATAAATTCCTCGTACGATATAAATTCTTATTTTTTTTCCATTTAACATTCACGTCTGTCCTAAGAATCTTGCCTTCCTAACCGAGAATGATAAATTAACTGGTTAATTATCCGTTTGTTCGTTCATTCGTGTAATGATTCACTCATTTAATCATACCTGCACCAGTATAAACCACATTCTTACATTTGTTACGGCCCCGTACCGATCAAATCGTTCTTATTAATTTTCACTTGTGTCTACATCGACATTTATAATCGAAAAACTATCGGGGATTAACAACTCGATAAATCATTTAACACGCTTCGAGATATCAGATATATGTATCGTATCAATAAAACGTTCTCCGCTCTCGCGTCGTTAAACACCTTGAGAACAAATTAATCAACAAAATATCGTGAACCCCAATAGCGAGACCACGTGATAAATCCTCT